TACTTCCTGCCAGTGCAGTTACACCAAAATACGGTCTATATGGCCAGGGATTGACGCGAAATCCTCATGGGAGAACTCTTCGTAGGTCTCATGGAGGTACCTTTCCAGCCTGTTCATCAGATTCCTGGGTAGGGCGATCTTATTTGGTCCCCCATGGTACGAGACGTTTCCCCGCCATGACACAATCAAGTATTCTGGGATCATCGCACGGCAGAGCATGGCAGCATATGGCCCTGGTTTTTGCATGCTTTCCCTAAGCATGCGTTCCTTCTCGCTGTCTGAGATCCTCATGAGGGTGATGTCGCTCATGATGCTCTGCTTTGAATTAGGGAGGGGAATGTTAGTATTGGGACTGCTTTACAGCCACGCGGTGGAGGGAGAGGGGCAGCATACAGGGATCTTTCCCTGGGACAGCCGCGAGGGGGTGGGACAGGGGCAGAGTTCATGCTAGCCTGATTGCTGCCAGCAGAGACTGGCATTGCTTTCAATGTGAAAGGAGGCCAGTGCTACTATTACAGTTTTAAGCAGCCACAAGTCTACGGCTTACCATGTTTGCCTGCTACAGAAGTTCAGGTGTCCTGCCCCGCTTCTCAGATTGGCAGTGCAAGACCCCAGGCACTGAAGCCGAGGGCCGAAAATTCGACCTTGTCCTGAGTGCGCATGTGAGAGGTGCAGTGCATGGTCTTGTTCACAGAGAAAGACTATGTTCTTTGTTCACAACAAAATTTATCTGTCTCAGAAATTCACTCCCTTTTTCCCATTCCCACAGACACATCTGCGACTGTCTCCCAACCCAGCCTGGCATCACACTCCCAGAGGCTAGCGCAGATTAGGCGGAGGAAGAAGAAGACGTGTGAGGACATGTTCTCAGAACTAATGGGCTGCTCCCGAACCCAGGCAGCCCAGCAGACACAGTGGAGGGAGAACTTGTCCCAAATGCACCGAGCAATCATGGAACGGGAGGAGAGGTGGCGTCAAGAGGACCAGCAGGCGACTCAAACGCTGCTTGGACTAATGAGGGAGCAAACGGACACGCTCCGGCGCCTTGTGGATGTTCTGCAAGACCGGAGGCAGGAGGACAGAGCCCCGCTGCAGTCTATCTCTAACCGCCCTCCCCCGCCACCAAGTCCCACACCCCCCTCACCCAAAGTCCAAAGAAGGAGGGGCGGCAAGGGCCGTTAAAACTTTCAGTCAACCCCTGCAGACTGCTCAAAATTTGAAAAGTCCTTTCCTACCCACCTCACACAAGTTTCCCCCCCCCCCATTTCATGTGTGGTTCATAATAAAATATTAGTTTCTGTTAATTACTGTTTCCATGATTTTCTTTTGGAGGAGAGTCTGTCTGAAGGTGGGGAAGGGGCTTGGTAATTGGACAGGACAGTCACCTTTAGCAGGGTACAGAGGCGGAGGCAGGTCCAGCATCAGGACACATACACAGTGCAGTGACTAGTTACCCTGGTCAGTCTGGGAGGTGGTTTTCATGTTCTGTGGGGGGGGGGGTTGCTCTGTGACTTTGTGGCGGGGGAGGGCAGTTACTGATCTTATGCAGCGGTCCTTATCCTGGATCACAGAGCCACGCAGCAGGGGATCTGTAACCCTCCTCCCCCTGCCAGAAAGTCACCTAGCCGACACATACACGCAGTCCCGCCCAGGAGTGCTGGCAGGCTCCGTTGAAACAACCAGTCCACCACTGCGGAGCCTGTCATTCCTGGAGTTTAGAAGCATCATTTGCATCAGAACACTAAACCCGCCCCCCGCCACAGTCTGCGTCCCCGGTTTAAAACATTCCCGCGAAAACAGTAATAAAGACAACGGTGTTCATTAACAAAACAGAACTGATTTTATTTTTTGGGAAGGGGGTGAAGGGGGTATGTAGCTGGAGAGGATAGTCAACATAAACTGGGTAAAGAAACGGGGGCAGGTTGAGCTTCTGTGTCCACAAACTTAACAGTCACTGGTTACCCTGCTCAGTCAGGAACCTAGCTTTCAAAGCCTCCCGGATGCACAGGCGCGTCCCGCTGGGATCTTCTAATCGCCCGGCTGTCTGGCTGGGCGTAATCTGAAGCCAGGGTATTTGCCTCAACCTCCCACCCCGCCATAAAGGTCTCCCCCTTGCTCTCACAGAGATTGTGGAGCACACAGCAAGCTGCAATAACAATGGGGATATTGGTTTCGCTGAGATCACAGCGAGTCAGTAAGCTTCTCCATCTCCCCTTGAGACGGCCAAAAGCACACTCCACCACCATTCTGCACTTGCTCAGACGGTAGTTGAACAGTTCTTTTTCTGTGTCCAGGGCGCCAGTATAGGGCTTCATGAGCCAGGGCATTAGCGGGTAGGCTGGGTCCCCGAGGATCACTGTAGGCATCTCCACATCCCCAAGAGTTATTTTGTGGTCCGGGAAGTAAATACCTTCCTGCAGCCGTCTAAACAGACCAGAGTTCCTGAACACGCGAGCGTCATGAACCTTGCCCGGCCATCCGACGTTGATGTTGGTAAAACGTCCCCTATGGTCCACCAGTGCTTGCAGCACCATTGAAAAGTAGCCCTTTCTGTTAATGTACTGGCTGGCCTGGTGGTCCGGTCCCAGGATAGGGATGTGAGTTCCATCTATAGCCCCACCGCAGTTTGGGAATCCCATCGCGGCGAAGCCATCTATGATGGCCTGCGCGTTTCCCAGGGTCACTACCTTTGAGAGCAGTACCTCAACGATTGCGTTGGCTACTTGCATCACAACAACCCCCACGGTAGATTTGCCCACACCAAAGTGGTTCGCGACTGACCGGTAGCTGTCCGGCGTTGCAAGCTTCCAGAGGGCTATGGCCACTCGCTTCTGGACAGTCAGGGCTGCTCGCATCCGGGTGTCATTGCGCTTCAGGGCAGGGGACAGCAACTCACAAAGTTCCAGGAAAGTCCCCTTCCGCATGCAAAAGTTTCGCAGCCACTGGGATTCATCCCAGACCTGCAGCACTATGCGGTCCCACCAGTCCGTGCTTGTTTCCTGGGCCCAGAATCACCGTTCCACAATATCCACATGACCCATTGCCACCGTGATGTCCTGGGCGCTGGGGCTCGTGGTTTCTGACAGTTCTGTGCTACTCTCCGACTTCAGGCCCTCACGGCGGTGCCATAGCCTCCTCGCCTGATTTTTCTGCATCTGCCTCAGGGAAAGGTGTATGATAAGCTGCGAGGCGTTGAGAACGGCCACAACTGCAGCGATGGTCGCAGCGGGATCCATGCTCGCAGTGCTGTGGCGTCCGCGCTGTCACTGATCAGAAAAGTGCGCGAACTGATTTCCCGCCGGCGCTTTCAGGGAGGGAGGGAAGTCGGTAGTGACGGACGGATGACGACAGTTACCCAAAAGCACCCTCTACACATTTTTTTACCCAGAAGGCATTGGCGGCTCGACCCAGAATTCCAATGGGCAGCGGGGACTGCGGGAACTGTGGGATTGCTGCCCACAGTGCACCGCTTCCAATGTCGACGCTTGCCCCGTTAGTGTGGACTCACAAAGTCGAATTACTGTCCTTAGTGTGGACACACATGTTCGACTTTGTAATATCGATTCCACATATTCGATTTAAGTGAAATCGAACTACCCTCGTAGTGTAGACATACCCTTTATCTTTGTTTTCTCAACTTGTAAATGTACTTTTTGCTAGGGTGTTTACCTCTGTTTGCTGTAACTTTGAACCTAAGGCTAGAGGGGGTTCCTCTGGGCTCTTTGAATCTGATTACCCTGTAAAGTTATTTTCCATCCTGATTTTACAGAGATGAAGTTTACCTTTGCTTTTAATAAAATTCTTCTTTTAAGAACCTGATTGATTTTTCATTGGTTTAAGATCCAAGGGTTTGGATCTGTGTACACCAGGACTAATTGGTGAGGGGATTACCAAGCCTTCCCAGGGAAAGGGGTATAGGGGCTTGGGGGGATATTTCTCAAGCCTACCCAGGAAAAGGGGTGTAAGGGCTTGGGGGGATATTTTGGGGGGAGAGGAACTCCAAGTGGTCCTTTCCCTGTTTCTTGTTAAAGCACTTGTTGGTGGCAGAGTATTAAAATTTAACCTAAGCTAGTAGAAATAAGCTTCATGCGAGTCCCCACATCTGTACCCTAAAGTTCAGAGTGGGGAAGGAACCCTTGACAGAGCCACACTTGGCTCTTGTACAGTTAAAGTGCGGCTCGCAGAACACCTCCCCTTAGCAAATTGGGGGGTAGAGCAGAAGCTTGGGGCTTCTGCCGGATACAACTGGTACCTGCTATGGGTGGGGGGGCAAAATGTAAAGGTTTGCTGCCCCCCCCCAACAACTTCCATCACACCCCCTAGGCATGTCCCCCTTACCCTCAGCAGCCTCTCCCTCCAACTCCCAGGTGTTAGCACTGCATGGAGAGGCAGTGGCAAGCTGCAGGGAGGTGCTGCTGCATTAGCTCCCTAGGGAGAGGCAGCAGCAAAAGCAGGGGCTCTCCCTGCAGCTCCCAGCTGTTTGCCACTGCCCCTCCCCATGGCCGCAGCTCCCAGCTTGCCGGCTCCAGTAGCTGCCGTGCGGGGAGGGGGCTCGGGGGCACCAGGTAACCAAGCAGGGCCAGCAAACCCTGGCAAAAATCTGGGGCTTCCCGGCTCTGGAACTTCTGAAGATTGTCACATGTGGTGGGGAGGGTCAGTAAGTTTGGCCACCCCGTCTAGTCCTTAAGCTGTGCAGTGTCGGGGGATCACCCGAGGATCTGCTCAGTTCACCGGCACTGCTGCTCGGAGGGCATTGGCCTGGCTCTCCCGGGCGCGCGCTCCCCTGGCACATGCAGCAAGGAACTTTTCATCCCCAGGAGACCTGAGCCGCGCCCCGCAAGCAGAGAAACCCGCAGGAAGGAAGAGGAAGCGAGACTGGTCGCTGGGGTAGCGCTTCAGAGGGCGGGGGAGGCTCGCCCCGCTTTTCCCAGGACCTGATTGACACGCAGAGCTGCGCGCTCCTTCCCCGCACCCCTCCGGCTGGCTCCCCCTCCAGCGGGCGGAACTCCGCGGCGCCCGGCTCCCCGGAGCCGTGATTGGCGGGGCGGCGGGCGGAGCCGGGAGCGCCGCTGTCAGACTCCGGCGGGCAGCGAGGGAGACGCGAGCGGCAGCTGCTCCGGGAGCCCCAGCCGCGCAGAGCCCGGGAGCGGGAGCCGAGGCAGCGCCATGAGCCAGAAATTTGACGTGATCGTTGTTGGGGGCGGCATCTCAGGTCAGTGCAGCCCCTGGCGTGTCATGGCTGGGGGCTCGCTGCCTTTGTAACTCATCGTGTACAGACTCTATGCATCCGAGGCTGGGGCTGGTATTTACACCCCCCGCCCGCTGCCTCTGTGTTCCAGGCCCTGGGAGGGCGGGGCGGGTAACGGGGTGTGTACCTGATGGGTGCCCTTGTCTAGCACCCGAGAAAGTGCAAGCCCGACGCAGACTCATAGGCCCCTTGACCCTGATTCAGACCTGGCCCAGCGGAGGAGCAGAGGTGCAGCTGCACTGTGGGTGGTCTTGAGTTTTGTGTGCAAACTGGAATGTGATGTCCCCCAAGGCAGTGGGTGAAAGCCTTGCCCCATTGCAGTCCGGTGGGTCGGGCAGCAAGGAAACTGTAACTGCCTCTATCATGCAGCAACTTGCACGCTGTCTCACTTTAGCTATTACGGTTGCAATGTCCGGAGTTATGTTTTCCTGACCGAACTGTATGGATACTGATCTATAGCATAGGTGTCTGTTCTTGCAATAATCAGCCCAGGTTAGGTTTCTCTTTACTTAACTGATCTTATAAGGAGCGTAGGGTAAAGCACCCTTGGGACCTATTTTGAATAAGTATCTCAGATAATAGATTGTCTGAGCAGGGTGCTTTCTACGTTTTCTCTCCACTTCTCATTTTGGGCTCATATTTCCTTCTTTACAGTCTCAACCATTTCCTTCTCACCAGCAATAATCCTGTTGTCCCCTATCATAGGAAGCGGAACAGTCTCTATTGGCACTATCACGCTGCTGTTTGGAAGATTGCCACAGTGCGTGTGGAAATCTTTGGTTCTGGTTTGAGGAAAGAGGTCATTTTCAGTGCAGCACCTCAGTGACCCAATGATCAAATGTCCCAACAGGCTGACCAGAGCCATCGGTTGATTTTAAGTGGGGAATCTTTTTCATAGAACTGTAAAGTTACAGCAGTGTCAATATTAGTAAACAATGTAGCACCCTAGTTAGGTACAATATAATGAAATGGAGTGTAAACCCCACTGTACAATGAAACTGAATGGGGCCAGGAGATAAAAGTTTTGGCTTGGTTTTCTTGTTTTTGAAACAGACTAGAATCGTAGGCATGGGGAGAGTATCTTTCACATCTGAGAAGTTAGAAGAGAAGTAGAAGATGCCCTTATTGTCATTTCAGGTGTTTCTTAATGCATATCTCACTCTTGCACTTTGTTACTCCTGTTTTGTCAATAAGAAAACGGTGTGTGTGTGAACTAGATGGCTCTTGTTTAATGTTATTGTTTTCACATGTGTAGGCCAAGGTTTAGGATGGGGTTCAATTCAATCTGTCATTCAACCATGACACAAACACTATTTTTAAATGGTTGTGGCACAGATGTAGTTTATATTTTCTTGATTAACATTGATATTTCCAAATTACAGTCTGACAGTTAAGACAGGGGTTTTTTCTTTGAGAAAAGATGTCCTTGCTAGAAGCCTGGGTCCCTCAGAAATTCTGGGCTTTGCACATTTCACCTGCTACAATATTCTGAACACATATTTTTATACGATAAAGCAAATTCTTGCTCCATGTACCTGTGCATGACTCCCATTTACTTTAGTGAGAGCTGCACAGGAATACCAGAGATCATAATTAAACACTGTTTTAGAATGTTTGGGTTTGCTTTGTATAAATCGTTTAAGCCTGACTAATATGCCGAATAAAGTACCTTGAGTTTTCAGATATTATCTGTTATGAAAATATTTGAGAATTCTGGAAATTATGTAAGGAGTGACAGCAGTATTAGTACAAATACAGTAACAATTTCAACCAGAATTGAGAAACGTTCATGAAAATTAAATTTTTGTTTGTAGTAAAATAATCCTGCTTCCTTCAAGTACCCCAGATATGGTGTATTACTACACAGACACAGGAATATTCAGTTGTTATTATATGAAATTACATAGAGTGTCCTCCAATAGGAAAAAGTGTTCGTGTATTTCTTAAACAAAAATACTAAAGATTGCAAAAAAACAAGGGCTGACCTACCTGATTGTTGCCTGATTGTTGTTCTGGTAACATGGGCCATTCAAGTATCATTCTCAAGGTTTAGCTCATCTCCAGAATCCTTTGATGGAACTAAAAACCTTATTATGTACAGTTGGAGGTATGACATTCTTTATAAAGTTGATATAGTTCTAAGCACTAGTTCCCTATAGGAAATGGGTCTCAACTTGTACATGGTTGTTCTGATTTCTCCATTTATAAAGATATTTTGAAATGTGTGGTGAACGTTTTTAATTATTCCTTGTCATTTTAACTACAACAAGCAACCGTAAATTGCTTCAAGATGCTTATTCATAGGATTAAAGACTAACAGAACCAATCAGGAAACATCAAGATGTTAATAGTCTCTGAAAACATATCAGTGAAACGAAAAAATTATGAATAAACATAAGACTATGACACTCTGTGGGTACAAAAACACTTTCATTGACTATGAAAACTGTTCTTCAGGCAGTGCCAATTTCATAAGAATTGGTGTTTACTTTCTCATTGACTTTCTTATTACTTTCATTTTGAACCGACATCAAAATAAGAAAGTGGTGTTAGAAGAGCTAATAATGTACATCCCATTCATTGAAACTGTACATTAATTGCAAGACCATTCACAGCTGTGCTCCAACTTTCTTATCAGCTCTTGAGGTTTTTTGCATGACCACCCTCTCTTCACCCCCTGTGCTCCATTATTGGTTCTATACCCTGTGTTATTCAGGAGGTCAGACTAGATGATCATAATGATCCATTGTGTCCTTAGAGCCTCTGAGTGACTTCAGTGGGGTCAGGATTTCAATGGCAAAACTCCCACTGACTTCAATAGGGTTAGGATTTCACTATGAATCTGATGCAAGCCTTGACTGCCTGTTTGTCTGCTTCTTCCACACGGTCTTTGTACCTTCTTCCATGTTTCTGTTATGCATAGAACACCCTCCTCAAACTGATCCAGAAGGCCACTACTCTCTCTTCCTTCACATATCTCCCAAATACTCACTTCTTCGTGATGCCTACAAGAAAGGACAGATTAAGTGGCAGTGGAGTACACTTGAGGTGTTCTCTAATCATTACACATGTATGAAATGTATATAATGTACAGTATATGCGTGTTTCCCATCTTCTTAAATGGCAAATTTCTTGGCATGGACTGTGTCTTTTTAAATGTTTGTTTAGCAACTAGCAGAATGGGACTCTGATTCTAACTGGGGCTTCTGAGTGCTACTGCAATTCAAATGGTACTGTAGTAATTATTGTAAATTTCAAGTTGCAATTTTAAATGAGCAGAAATGTGAAAGATAAGATTTTTCTCTTCTGACAGAGGAAACTGTGTGCATCAAACCTGGCTCCTATCCATGGTGCATTAGGTTTTCCAATATATTGCACTGATTGAAGCTCTGCCTTAGTTATGGATGTTGACTTTCTAGTCTGTCTTTGATGGGAAGATGAGGAGGGCTTAGGTTTCATTCTGTCCTTTGTTAATTCTCCGAAGAAGCTGAAGGTTTGTTTTCTCTCTTTGTGGGATGATTCTGTGTGAGTGTCATGAAAACAGTCAAATTACCAGGATATTAATTAAAACAAAGTTTATCAGAAAAGTGAGAGAAGATCGGGTATAAAATGATATGTAGCCTTAATTGGGTAATAGCTATTCTAGATATGGCTCAATCGTGCAATTAAACGCTGGAGAAAACAGAAAAAGAAGATGCCCAGATCTCTTGACTTTGGACATTAGCCCAGCTTGTCAGGCCTCTTCGACTGTCATAGTCTGTCTCTGTCAATCATCACGTATCCCAGTATCTCAGAAACCCAATCCCTGAGTTCTTCCCTACATGTGTGTCACATTCCAGGTTGCAATCCATACTAGCAAGGTGCCCTCCAACCTTGGGTGTCTCACAATGCTTTGCTGCTGTAGCTCCCAACCTGGGCCCCTCACAGACCACAGGCAGGTCACACTCTGAGTGTCTGTGTACAGCTGCAGCCTGCCAGCAACTCTCCAGTCAACACTCTGGCTTCCACCAGCCTTGGTTACCTCTTGCAAGGTGACTCCAACACTCTCCCAGTCCCGGATTTTCCCAAAAGTGCCTCCTGGACAGTTCAGATACTAGAGGTCCGTTGCCCCGTAAGGGATCAATATACAAAAGTTTGCTACTTTAATTGGAGTTACCAGACAATTCAGTTTAAACACCAGGCTGGATTCGTTATGATTAAAGAACAAAACAAGCTTATTTAACTACACGCTTCAGTCAAAATTTCAGCTTATGTCATACCTTTACATATAGTGTTGCTATGTACATTTCACCATGATATTAGCAATCAGCAAGTTATTGGTTTTCAAATGATACCTCACAAGGCATATTTTGTACAAAGATTATTATAGTGGTGAGTAGGGTGTGAATATACAGGTGCATTTGGTCACAAGGTGACAGTCTTTATATTCTTGAGAGTCTTTTGAAGTAAAGGTAATACTGTGCTTGTTTGTATGCCAAGCAGGTAAGCATCTCTGACAGACTCATTGCCACCACCATACATAAGATTGTTGTGGCCCTCTTGTTGTGGAATAATACTATTTTCAATAAATTTCGAACATAGAGTAAGTATCTGATGTCCCGGACAAACAGACTTAACCCTGCCTCCTATTATTTCATAAGGGTCTTTGAACTTGTGAAGGTGCCCTCTAATCATTCACAGCCTTTGCTAGCCTACCTACATCAGACTAAAGATAGTTTGCATAGTTATGGTCCTTTTCTCTAGGAGTCTATGCTTTCCCTTTCTTAAGGGTTAGACCATAAGTTAGTTTCTCTCTTGATCATTACTTTAAAAGTATCACACTTCAGTAATTTCATATTTCTCCAGAAATTCAAATATATCTAACATATGAATCCCAGTCTATCACAAGAACATATGCAGAATTATGAAAAGGCTGATTTTCATGCTGCACAGAGGACATGGATCAGAGATGGACAAATACAGAC